ATCTGCCGCTTCTGACAGGATCTCACGCATCACATTCTCACTACTATTTACTTCCATTTAAGATTTTATTTAACTCATTTAGCACGGTTCTTGTGAGGATACTCGACAAAACGGACATTTTGGCATAAATGTGTGTGTGTTATTGTTCGTTCAAGCGCGAAAGAGAACTCGATACTGGCGCGCGTCTTTCTGTGCGTCGTGTGTCAGGAGGACATTCACTGACAGCGCGTATTGTCATTGCGCGCATTAAAGCATTTGCGTGAATAAGAGCATGATCATAATCCTAGCTAAAGGATGACAGAAAGAACGGATGCATTGCTGCGTTAATTGCAAAGCTGGACAAAAATGAATCGCATGAGTTAACGTTGCTGTCAGCACTTATACATTGCTGACAGAAAATATTGCGGTTTGAAGTGGACTCGTTTTCATGGTAACGTAGGCCTAACGTTACACCGAATGTTTTTTTAGTAGCTAACGTTACACAGTAATGTTCTACATTAAATATTTAGCTAACAGTCTGAAATTATCCTGACCTGAGCTAATTTCCTAAATCAACCAACTCACATCTCCTTTCTTTCTTTTCATCCATGATGACATTTGTCACCTGTTGTTGTTTATGGCGTTTCATCACTGACTGTGTCGCAATCTATTTTTTTTGTGGTCGCAACCGCTATCCTTGCGCATTAGAACTTTCAGTGAGCTATTTTACACAGGCTTGGTCCTGCTCTTCCGTGGCAATGACGGCGTGCGGTTAAAAATCATAACAAACGAATTTGAAAGTGTCCCCCTTGTCCGCATTGGAAATTACGCCCGTGGGTAGGACATCATCCCCAGGCTTCATGAACTTGCGCTCCATGCTTTCACCGACGACGCTAATGTGACGTATGGATCTCTATCACACTGTGTTGCCAGGACCTGCCCTGCTCTGCTTCTGATAGGCTTGTAACGTTAGTTAGAGCTGTGTTCCTCTCATATGATTGGTAGGTGAAATCAATTGACTCGAAAATATTAAACCGCATACAAGTTCCCCTTTTTCTTTTTGTCCTCACGGCCGAACGCCGGAGATCCGGCACGGTGCCCTGGACACCTGATAGTCTGAAAAAATAATACCTAACTTGGAAAAAATAATACCTCTGAGACCACATTTAACACTTTTAATGGCCTTAAATTTGACAATTTTGATTTATCACTTTTTAATACTTTTTAAAACCCCGCGGACACCCTGTTTAATGAACTTTGAGCCAACTAAACAGGTCATTCTCTTTAAGTTTTCAGATTTCGGTCCAACTCAAATCACACACAAATGCTCTCTAAGTATTGTTTAATAGGCCCACTGCTTTTCTTAGAACTGAAACAGAAAAAGGGACATTTACTTCAGGACACAAAGAATGGTAAAATATTAATCTGCAAACAATTATTATAAGTATAAAATTACAATCTTTTTTTACGTGACAATTGAGCTGACAGAGACGTTCTCATTCACCTTTTAATTTACAGTATGAAAAAGTAACTGCCATGATATTCTTCCTATATATATAAGGATATAACATCTCGTTTTTTAAGTCTTCATGATTATTGAACAAAATACAGGCAAGTGATAAGACTATAATAATACCTAATGTTACAATAATAAAAACAGCCCTGACTCGTAAGCTCGATCAAGCTTTATTCTGTGCAATAGAATAAATAAGTCATCACATTACTGTAATTATATTACTATTGATAATATTATTACTATTATTAGTAGTATTGCATTCTCTAATAAAGAAATTTACCGCTGGTTAGTTAGCTCCAGCTGGAGAACACTCTCCTCTCACCGGCTCCTCTTGTGCCGGGATGTTTCCTCTTGCACACATGCATGTTGTGCTCTCGTGAAAAGCAAGTTCCGCCTTGCATGTATTGCACACGACAGCATTCTTGATTTTAAGTTTTGTGAAACTTTCCCAAACCTTGCTAGTTCGGATTCGTTTGCCCTGTCATAATTCGCGCTGTTTATTCTTCTACCGCAATAGCATTTGTAAGGGCTGCACTACACTAGCGCTACAGCGCCGTAGCGGTCAAATCGCGATATTGCAGGCCCTTACATTAGGTCACGTGAGATCAAACGACTACTCGACAACAAAGATATTTGTTGAATCAACGTTAATTATTTGCAACTGTACAATTACATAAATCCAATCCCGCATCAAGCAGATGTTCTATTGTATTCTAATTGTATTTTCATATGATCAAAACGGTCCCTCATTTAGGCTACATATCGACTGCTTTTGTGCAATATATTCCCAAACAGAAAATATCGATTATATATATATATATTAGTGTTGTCACGATACTAGAATTTCTAACTTCGATACGATACCTTGAAAAATATCGATATTCGATACCATTTTCGATACCACGGAGAAAAAACTGCCACAATATTAAGGGGGTATTTTTTTTAATTTAAAGCTAAATATAACAAGTCTAGAACATGACAATGAGGTATATTTTACATGAACAAAAATGTCCTGAGTTCTAGGCTATTTGTTTATATTTTTTAATTGGACCAGAGCTAACATGATGTATTTTTATTACCTACTGTTATCAAAGATTAAAATATACTGTAACAAAAAAGCACTTAACAGTATCAAATTGGAGGATAGAGAGTCAGTAATGTATAATAATAAGATTAAACATTCAATTTTCAGTTAAAGACATGTCATTATTGAATTCAGAGATGCCATTGTCTAGCTGTTTAGTTTAATTGATATCTGTGTAATCAAATTGATGATAATTGCTAATGAAGGAAAATTGCAGAATTAAATAATAATTTTTGAATTAAGTTAAATAGGCACCAGTTAATTTACATTTGACCACAGTTACAATATTTACTTTCAGTCAGATTATGTTAACTTTAAGAATTAAAACGAGACAACACAGACTCTTATCAACAACAATACTAGGCCATCTTGGTTAATGTTTCAGAAAAGTTCAAATGAGAAGAGTTACAGTGTTTCCTTGAGGATTTTTTTTAGCAGTGGGGGCAGGTCTGTCCAAACAACACACACCCCTGATGCTGAGCATATAATGCTAAATAGTAGCCTACCCCTGGAGCCTGTTCCTTAAGTCTGTTTACACCTATACAATAATTAAAAAAAATGAGTGATGTGAGGGATTATTGATAGTCAAACAATCTGTTGGGTGCCCGCATAGACAGTATAAGAAGTGGACAGAGCCATCTCATTGGAACTCAGTTGAGACAGTTGAAGCCCATTTTTAGCGATTTTTGAGCACTTCCGTTCCTGACGCGCAGACTCAAACCGACTCAAACTAAGCTTGATGACGTGAGCAACCTGTCTGACAGACGTTAATCTTCTAGTAGCTGTGCGTGAAAATAGCCAACGTTAATCTTGCAGAGACGGGGAACTTGAGCAAAGAGTTCTTTGGCGTGAGTGAGCAGGAGTAAGTATTCCGTTGCTTTTATGGACTCATTATCTATGGGCTTCTCTCTTGACGGGACGTGCCCCCGATTGCCTGCGAGCTTCTCCTGCTGTCTGTACGGTAATTTCTGTACAGCGCGACAGAGAGTCGAGTGGTTATGACGCAATCGTTAGCCTATTTTTACTAAATCTGTTTCTACGGGGCCATAATGTAACATAGAAGGTAATCGAGCCCTTTATACATTGTCGTGTTTCTTTAGAAATAAACAATGGACAAATGGAGTCTTTAAACGCCTCAGATGTAAAGTTATTCGCTGTCAAAGTGACGCCAAAATGAATGGGAGTCAATGGAAATGCTAACCCAAGTGAAGTTCTGCTACAACATGGCGGCACCCGGCCGGCTTCAACTTCCGGTCGATGGATTACCCCCTTGGGTGCCCGCAGCCCGCTCGCGTGTCCGCGCTATTCTCCGACATGCCCGCTCGCGGTGTGTAGCTCGTGTCCGCGCTATTCTCCGACATGCCCGCTCGCGGTGTGTAGCTCGTGTCCGCGCTATTCTCCGACATGCCCGCTCGCGGTGTGTAGCTCGTGTCCGCGCCATTCTCCGACATGCCCGCTCGCGGTGTGTAGCTCGTGTCCGCGCTATTCTCCGACATGCCCGCTCGCGGTGTGTAGCTCGTGTCCGCGCTATTCTCCGACATGCCCGCTCGCGGTGTGTAGCTCGTGTCCGCGCTATTCTCCGATATGCCCGCTCGCGGTGTGTAGCGCGTGTCCACGCTATTCTCCGATATGCCCGCTCGCGGTGTGTAGTAGGGCTGCAACGATTAGTCGACGTTGTCGACAACGTCGACAATAAATATTTGTCGACAAATATCTTTGTTGTCGAGTAGTCGTTTGATCTCACGTGACCTAATGTAAGGGCCTGCAATCCCGTGATTTGACCGCTACGGCGCTGTAGCGCTAGTGTAGTGCAGCCCTTACAAATGCTATTGCGGTAGAAGAAAACACAGCGCGAATTATGACAGTGCAAACGAATCCGAACTAGCAAGGTTTAGGTTTGGGAAAGTTTCACAAAACTTCAAATCAAGAATGCTGTCGTGTTCAATACATGCAAGGCGGAACTTGCTTTTCACAGGAGCACAACATGCACGTGTGCAAGAGGAAACATCCCGGCAAAAGAGGAGCCGGTGAGAAGTGAGTGTTCTCCAGCTTACTAACCAGCGGTAAATCTCTCTTTATTAGAGAATGCAATACTACTAATAATAGTAATAATATTATCAATAGTAATATAATTACAGTAATGTGATGACTTATTTTGCATAGAATAAAGCTTGATCGAGCTTAGGAGTCAGGGCTGTTTTTATTATTGTAACACTATTAGTATATTAGGTATTATTATAGTCTTATCACTTGCCTGTATTTTGTTCAATAATCATGAAGACTTACAAAACGAGATGTTATATCCTTCCTATGATATAGGAAGAATATCATGGCAGTTACTTTATCATACTATAAATTAAAAGGTGAATGAGAACATCTCTGTCAGCTCAATTGTCATGTAAAAAAAGATTGTAATTTTATTCTTATAATAATTGTTTGCAGATTAATATTTTACCATTCTTTGTGTCCTGAAGTAAATGTCCCTTTTTCTGTTTCAGTTCTAAGAAAAGCAGTGGGCCTATTAAACAATGCTTAGAGAGCATTTGTGTGTGATTTGAGTTGGACCGAAATCTGAAAACTTAAAGAGAATGACCTGTTTATTTGGCTCAAAGTTCATTAAAACAACTATTTCAAAAGCTGAAGTGATTTTATTTTTGTATATTATAGTTAGAATATGTATAACTCAATGTTTTAACTAATTGGAAAAGCTGAATAATCGTTCCAAACTTACTGATTAGTCTGCGGAATAATCGACGATTAGTCGATTAATCGTTCTAATAATCGTTAGATTAATCGATTATCAAAATAATCGTTTGTTGCAGCCCTAGTGTGTAGCGCGTGTCCACGCTATTCTCCGATATGCCCGCTCGCGGTGTGTAGCTCGTGTCCGCGCTATTCTCCGATATGCCCGCTCGCGGTGTGTAGCGCGTGTCCACGCTATTCTCCGATATGCCCGCTCGCGGTGTGTAGCGCGTGTCCACGCTATTCTCCGATATGCCCGCTCGCGGTGTGTAGCGCGTGTCCACGCTATTCTCCGACTCCGACATGCCCGCTCGCGGTGTGTTTTTTACCCGTGTCCGCGCTATTCTCTGACATGCCCGCTCGCGGTGTTCTTTCTCAATCAACCAAAGCCGGTCGCGGGGGCGCGGCCCTCGCCATCTTTCCATTCACTTCACTTTTGCTATTTAACCAGAGCGAATGAGACGAGTGCGTCACGTGTGGTGTTTGTCAACGCGCCTTTTGAGAGAAGTGAAAGTGACTGCTCGGCTAGTATCGATACTTCGGGAAATTAGTATTGGTACCGTTCAGATATTTCAGTATCGATATTTATCGAAATATCGATATTTTTGACAACACTAATATATATATATATATATATTTTAAATAATTGATATATCACCTACTGAACGTAAGTCACAAGGTAAAACGTTCACACAGTAGCATGTATGTGAAATGTTTCGACACAGAACCATGTTTAACCATAGCAGTTGTTAACTGTAGTAGCCACAATTATGTACCATTGTCTGACTACAGAGTCCATGTAATAAATTGTGCATAAAGTGTGACTCCGAGAATGAAAATCGGAGATCACTTAAGGCCAATTTATACTTCTGCGTCGGACCTACGCCGGAGTCTCTACGCTATACGCGTTGGTCTTCATTTATACTTCTGCGTCGTTGTCCGCGCAATTACACATGCAGAGGGAACTTGTGAAACCCGAGGGAGGGGTTCTAGCAGACCAATCACAGCGCTTGCGTTCGCGTAGAATTGACGCGTTGTTACATTTTTGGAGAGGTGCACGTCAGGGTACGCTGGAGGGTACGCGTGCTACACACAGCCTACGCCGTAGCTACGGCGTAAAGGCCAATTTATACTTCTGCGTCGGGTGCGCGCAGTAGGTACGGCGTAGCATACGCACAGACGCGTACCATACGCCGTACCCTTCGCCGTAACCTGACGCGCACCTCCTCAAAAATGTAACTACACGTCGCGACGACGCGGACCGCAAGATCTGTGATTGGTCGGCTTGGTAGCATCGCGTTTCCTCCTATGCATTTCCGGCGTGTTCTTCTGCACCGCCCGCCATTTTTAAATTCTAAGTACAGCGAAACTGTTAAAAAAACTAAAAATTTACCTTTTCCACCTCGATAAGCTCCAACTCCAACATGATCTGCTCTCTTTCAGTCGCCATTGCTTGTAGTAACCTAAACTCAAAACAGCCGCGAGGAATCTTCTTCTTCTTGCCGCAAGGAATCTAAACACAGTGGAACATTAAAACCCTCCGCCGCCAACTAGCGTTTCGGCGCTGTACTGCAGAGCAACGCAGACCTAAACGCAGAAGTATAAATGCTCATGACGGCGTTGCCTACGTGCGTAGCCTACGCCGTACACTACGGCGTACACTCGACGCAGAAGTATAAATTGGCCTTTAGTTCGACGCAGAAGTATAAATTGGGCTCATGGAGTGATCTCTTTTCTGCGCGCGTTCGAAACCCGTGGAAAGATTACTTTTTAAAAATGTTTTAGATCATAGCAATACTTTGTCATCTTTATGAGAATACGAAAGGCATGTAACGAGCAAATCTGCGTTTATTTGACAGCTTAATATCGCAAACAGTTTGTGCTTTCAGAATTGACGAATCTGCTCACATCTCCAGCGGATGACCTGAACAGGAAGTTGGTCACCAGTTAACATGGTCACCAGATAAACCGTAACACCGGTAATTACAGGTTAAAAAAACTAAAGTAGTGTAACACCCATGGCTAGAGAAGCCTAACTTGAAAAAAAAATACGTTAACTTTCTGGCTCATAAGTTAGCTAAACTGAAGGGTTCTACAAGCTGAGCGGACTATAATACCGCGTTCCAGGCAACCTGTAACCCGTTTTTTTCCAACCCTATACCCGTGAAAGTGCACTGGAACGGCAGTCAAACCCGTGACTTCCCACCCGTGAACTCGTACTAGATCGATCATGTACTCCCAGTTACGAGCTCTGACGTCACATAGCCCGCGAAACCATACAAAACAGCAATGGTTTGTTTACATCTAGCTACCACAATTCCTTGCGCTCAGGTAAGTTTGGCGTGACTGGCTTGGAACGCGACAAAGTCGTGAGTCGTAGTTTGAAGTCGTGATTTACGTGCTCAAAAACGTGCCTGGAACGCAGCATAAATATCTCCGGTTGCTAAATAAACCGTCAGGCGTAACCAAGGAAACCAAGTTATTGTTTATAAAACAATACTGGGTATTGTTATTATTATTGTTTATAAAACAAAACTGGGTATTAATGGACTTCGGCGGAGGCAACCGTCCTCCGGACACCTCGTCGGGCATTAACCCTTATACACACAAACTCGAGGAGCTGGTTAATGTTAAACTCTGTAATCTGGTAACATCTCTCACCTGCAGACTGGAAATATACGGCATCCGAAGAAAATATTCCACATTTGTCCTTAATTCACGACCGTTAACAGCGTCACTTTCAGCCTCAACTGGTGAAATTTTCAGCTCGTCTCTCTATCTGTCTATCTCGCTTCTCTCTTCTGCGCATCCTCAGTGCGCAGCGTGTCATGTTTCTTCTTCTTCTTCTTCTTTTGTTTTTATGGTGGTTGGCAAACCAACTTAACGGTTCATTACCGCCACCGACTGGGCTGGAGTATGAATCAAGAGATATTGGAACTTAGCTTAAAAAAAAATTTTAATCCTTTTGGCTACGTCTATGTCTCTCAGATACTTAATAACAAAGTGATAAATATTGCTGGATGTTTTCCCTAATAAACCTTGCATTGTAAAATTATTCTGATTGATCATTCTGAGAGACTGAAAAAGCTGGTTTCTTTCTTGACTGTATTTTGTGCACTGAAATAAAATATGCTCCACAGTTTCTAAATGAGTACAATGTTGGCATTTCCCTGTTGGATGTTTCCCTATTAATTTAAGAATTGAGCCCTGTGTGTCCTATTCTTAACCGTGTAATTATACTTTCCTCTCTTCTACTCCTACACTCTATCCTTCCTATACCCACTTCTGGTTGTATATTATATAAATGTCTCCCTTTATCCTGATCCACCCAATACTCCTGCCATTTTGATCTTGCATATGCTTTAATTAATATTTTAGTTTCAGTTTTGCTATATGGAACTTGTAATATTCTATTATGTTGTCATGTTTCTTAAAGGGGCCGCATATTCTTAAAGTCCCCCTGTAGTCAATAATTGTATCCCTTAAACTCGTCTTTGATCACCAAAATGACATATTTGAGCGTTTTTTTTCCTTGAAAAAAAATTCTGCACACCTTAAAATAGATTGAATGTATAACTCCACATCCTTGTCTCATTTAGTACATGGTTCTATGAATATGAAAATTAGCCCCACCTCCACTCACTCACACCAGCTCAGAGTATGGATGGTAAGATTCACCGATTCGAATCGGTGCATCGACATAAAAGTTAATGATGTGATGCATTGATTTTTTTTATATTTAATTATTAGTAGAACCCCCTATACTTTTATTATTGAGAAAGTGGCCATTCATTTGTGACCAATATTTTATATGTAGATTGATTTCTCTGTGCCTTCTCTCATCACCACTGCTGCTAGTGAATATGAGGTTACACTACAGAGACCGAGGTGAGTCCAGAATCACATAGAACAGTGCTTTTCAACATGTGGGCTGCAGCCCACTTTATTACGATTGTAATAAATGTTAATTTATTATGATTGTAATAAAGCTAAAGACGATTACAGTGACCTTGTATGTACGCGCGCTCTACTCACTGATCGCTATAACATCGTATTTCTGCATGAACACAGTTCAATATATTTGCCTAGTTGTCATAATTAATGTTCTATAGGTGTTTGATATAGGATGCCCAGTAAAGAAGCATGTTTTAGAAAAGTTTGTGAGGACCAACATGGTTTGTCTTAAAGGGGTCATATAATGCCATTTTTGTACAAGCTAGTATGATTCTTTAGGGTCTAAATTAAAAGTTTGTAATATACTTTAATTAAAAATTCTCATTAGTATTGTAAGAAAACACTTATTTTACCTGGTCAAAAACAGCTCTGTTTTCAGCACGCCGTTTCAGTGCATATGACTTCAAATGATCATGAGCTTTGCTCACCCCGCCTCTCTGTTCTGTGCGTACACCGTTTGTAACACAATAACACTAACCATAACGCGTTGTTCATTATAAACGTGGGATTATGAATTTTATTGAGAACGTCGTACATAGAAAACATGCCGTAATGTACCCTGAGTGTAAACCTTAGCCGCATTCATCGTGAAGCGATTTGCAAAGATTAATATAAATATTAATATAAAGATTAATAAAACGTTACACTCACTTCAGTTCTTCTGGAGCAGCTGCAGGAACACGAATAGCTGGTACCGATCCTTTATTCAGGTGCAGCTTCTTAGCAAAACCAGCTTTATACTGACCCTCCTTTATAAAGCAGTCTGGTGAGAAATGATTCACGCAAACATGAGAGCATTGATGTTGCTCGTGGGGAATATTCCCTTTGAAAACAAAACTCAGCGGTTCGGATTTAGGAACATTAAAATTACTGCTGTGTTCCTTATTGCACCCAAGAACAGAACACCACAATCGCTTAAAGGAGTCATAATGTGCAATTTTCACTTTTCCATGAGAATCAATGTATGTTATGATTGACTAACGATTATACATTGGCCGGGATGCCGATATTCAAAAGTGAAGCGTTTGTTTACCCCAGGGTTCTTAAACTAGCCAACGTGCACGCGCACTCAAATACGAGATTTCAATTTCTCCCCCGGCTTGACGTCAAGACGGGGCCGGATATACCATATATGGACACCGCAGAGGAGGCCCGCCCTGCCCCTCTCCCCATCATATTCAGACAAGAAAGATGCAGAAACGTAGTGCACACGTGAGTTGCTCTGTGGTTGACTGTAATCCACATTCTAATGTTTTTTCTTTACCCAAAACTGACCAAACTACAAGGGACAAGTGGATGAAATTTATTTTTAATGACGCTGTTCCAACAACCATCTCAACTTGCTCAACGTTAGGTGTCTGCGCTAAACATTTCACAAAAGAATCTTTTACAAATTTGGGGCAATATCAGGCGAAGTTTGCATCGAAGCTACGTTTGGAAAAAGGTGCCATTCCAACAATCAGGGACTTGCCTGAATTTGAAACGGTAAGACTGTGTTTTTATTACTATATTTTGTGTAACAAACAGCAGCTAACTACTAATGCGGTTAATGTATGTGATGTAAACACGGGGAATGGACTCTACGAATGCTAGCCACATCTTTCCACTTTGTTTTACACTACAGTAACGTTAGCTATTATTTAATATAATCGTATATAATATAACAATGACAACATATCATTGTAGGCCTATTGATTTTTTTATATAATAGATAAGGATAGATAAATTTAAAAAACAGTCAAGAATTAATAAACAAAGAAAAACATAACGTTACATGTCTGCAGATGAAAATTATTAAATATCTAAAAAACCACAACGTCAAAAAAGGCAAAAACAACACATTATAGCAAACGTTAATCTCTATAACCACTGTAAGCTGAAAATAAAGTAGACTACATCTCCGTTAATGTAATCTACATTAAATAAAAGCTAAACTTATGTGGGAGAAAATAGCAAAAAAACGTTTTAGCTCGTTACTGATGTTAATGTATGTCCCAGTCAAAAAAATTGTCTTTACCATTCAGAGACATGTTGATGTAGACGTCCTTCAATTGACTGTTGTTCCTCTTCCGTTTCCAGCTCTGGTTCAGAGTCTGGCTCAAACATATACGGTTGAATCCCTTAGGTCGCGGCCAGGTCGGGTTCATTCACAACTTGCGCCATGATCTCTTTTTGGAATGATATGCTGAAGTTACCTGCGGTGTCAAGCCCCCTCCTTCCTGCCACCAATCAACGCGCCCCTCATTTGCATTATTAAAATGACCGTCCACGACAGCCAAAACCTCGCATCAGATCTCGCGAGACAATAATGCATTCAGAAATAAGGGTCAAACGAGCTCTGTGTTTATTTTTTTTTCAATTTTTCTTTTTTAGAAGGGCATGAAATGACTATAATAGAGCGTGGGTATCAAAGTTAATACTACATTATGACTCCTTTAAACACCATTCTGCTCATAGACAGTGCTCCAGCATATCAACAATGACCGCGCCGGTCCGCTCAGACTATGATTGACAGCTCTCACGAGCGAGGGCGGGTCTGTGTTGAAACGATGCTGTCAATCAACAATCGTGGGAGGGACTTCCGAGCGTGTGACGTCACAAAATCGAACGGCTCAATTTGAGGCAGGGGAAAACATATAAGGAGATTAAAACAAAAACACTGGATGGATTTTTATCATTTTATGATGGTTGTGTACAGGCACTGCCAACACACATTTCAGTACAATCAACTTGAAAAAGTGCATGTACCATTATATGACCCCTTTAAGGGGTGAACTCTTTTAAAATAATAGCTAAAAAAACAACAAAAAAATTTTCTTTAGTTTCTCATTTGCTTTGTTCAAACCTGACCTTAATTTAAAAAAAATATATAAACTAAAATATCAGTGCATGAAACTGTTTTGCAGGCATTTTAATGGGATACATGTGCCTGCTTTTGCAAGCACAGCCTCTTGATACGGGGATAGATTGAGGATAATGCAACTCGTAGTCAATCGTGCTTGCCAGGCGCAGACTTTTTTGTTTTCCACGTATGCCAGGGATGAGAACGCTGGCTCCATCTTTGTCCTATTCTGTCAATCTCTGTGTGAAATATAAAATTGACCCCGCACCAATACAGAGGGCGGAGCGGTGATTTAAACTTTATATAGCCTATAGCCTACTTGAAATATATTGCTTATTTATATTCGTTTGGACCTGCTCATATGTTGGTGTTTTTATATATTTAAAAAATATATGCTATAAAATAATATTATATGGTAGGATAGTTATTTTAGGCTGTTTAAGTTAGAAAAAAAGCTGAGATTCTGGGCACCCCTAGCCAGTTGTCACGGTCGGCACCCAGTTTGGGACCTACTGGTCTAGACCAATGGAGAGTCCGGTTGTGTTCAAAACACACATGATTTCTCTCATGATCTGTATTTTCTGGTGCTGTTTAGAGTCGAGCAGTGAAAAACTCTTTCCACAAAAACATATTAGACTTCTCATTTGCATGAAGCTTCAGGGGCCGGTTGCACCAGCTGGACATTTTGGTGTAAGCTTTACGCTGGACTTAGCTACGTCCAGCTTTCCGATGAATATTTACACCTGTTGCACCATCTAAAACGACGCAGCCAAGCTTAGAATTGACGATGCACATATCCTACACACTGACATGGTTCAACCACTGATAGTTGAGACGGTCACGCTCACCTTACTATGGTTACAAATTATAGATGAAAAATTACAGCTAATTAATTGGTTAATTCTAACAATTCAACCCTTCTGAAAACAAAACATTCAATACATTCTCTGTCTCCATGTATATCTAGAGGATTGGTGTGATCTCTAATTACTCTTTCATCTTTATTTTCACCATGGAAACAAATTTAGACTTCACACTTTACACCTACCTTTGTCTAGGCGTAAGATTTAGTCTCAGACATGCGCTACACCCAGATGGTGCAACATTTATTAATTCTATGTAGGACTTAAAAAATGCATTTTATGTTAAGCTTAGTCTTACGACTGGATGAACGTCCAGCTGGTGCAACTGGCCCCAGGTGTTTTTCAGAATCGATGCTGAAGTAAAGGTTATACATTAAACAATCACAATTCAACTGTTTTTTTTAAGACACAATGTTTTTTCTATTTAATTTTTAAGCAAGTATATATGTATATAATTTGTATGTATAAATATAATTTGTCCTTAAGCTTATCGGTAGTCCGGTATTGACCCAATTATGTTCCAGTCCAAAAAAAATACCGGTTCTTGGTACCCATCCCTTCCCTGAGTACAGTACTAGGGCTTCTTTCCAGTATGAAGTCGCTCATGTGTTTTCAGTGATCTCAACTGACTGAAACTCTTGTCACAAAATGAGCATTTGTGAGGTTTTTCTCAAGTATGAATTCTTCGGTGCAGTTTCAGACAGGCAGCTGCAGTAAAGCTCTTCCCACAGTCCAAACACACATGATCTCTCACACCTGTATGTATTTTCTGATGCAGTTTAAAACTGTCCAGCCCTGAAAAACTCTTTCCACAGAGAGAACACACATAAGGCTTCTCATCTGAATGAACTATCAGGTGTTTCTTTAGATTTGATGATGAAATAAAACTCTTCTCACACTGAGTACAGTGGTACGGCTTCTCTCCAGTATGAAGCCGCTCATGTGTTTTCAGTGTTCCCAAATGACTGAAACTTTTGTCACAATATGAGCACTTGTAAGGTTTTTCTCCAGTATGAATTCTTTGATGCAGTTTCAGATGACTTGATGAAGTAAAGCTCTTCGCACAGTCAAAACACATATAATCTCTCACTTCATTGTGTGTTTTCTGATGCAGTTTAAAATGATCCATTCTTGAAAAACTCTTTCCACAGAGAGAACAAACATAAGGCTTCTCGTCTAAATGAATTTTCAGGTGTTTGTTTAGACTTGATGACGAATGAAAATCTTTACCACACTGATCACAGTTATATGGTTTTTCTCCAGAGTGACGGAGCAGATGAACACGGAAAGCTGATGAATCTCTGAAACTCTTCTCACACTGAGTGCATGTATACGGTTTCTCTCCAGTGTGAATTCTCATGTGTGTCTTAAGGTGTCCTTTTAGACTGAAGCTCTTTCCACACTGAGTGCATGTATGCGGTTTCTCTCCAGTGTGAATTCTCATGTGTACGTTAAGGTCTCCTTTTAGACTGAAGCTCTTTCCACACTGAGTGCAGGTGTGCAGCTTTTTGGCTTTTGTTTCTTGAATTTTAAAGTCATGATGTTCCTCCTTAATTTTCTCCATTTGTTGTCTTTGCTCTTTCACTTCCATCCGATCTAAAATAAACATAAAATTAGAATCAGTTTAAGTGAACCCTGATTTAATAGCAGAAAGGAACAGAGAGCAAGACATTTGATGTGCCAAAGTTCTGTCATTCTCTTTTTAAAATGATCAAAATTGTGTTTGACAACTGTTATAGCCTACAAAATTATGATTATGAAAATTAAAATTATGAAAAGAACATAAAATATGACAATTAAAATAATATAAGCATTTCTATAGAATTCTTCCTTCATATGCTTATCATTTCACAGCTACCAAAGCAATGAAGAATCAAGAATGGACACCAACCTATTTGTTCCTCAGTATCTTCATGTTTTATTCTGGATGGTTCTGGATCACTCATCTCTTCAATCTCCTCTTTAATAAACTCCATCTTTAACAGTCACACAGATTTCAGCTGCTACTCCTGGAGTTTGTCCTTCTCTTGTAGGATGATGTGAATATTCCCAGTATTTATTGGTGAATTATTGTGGGATGGACACCAGATCTGCCAAATAAAAAGAGAAGTTACTGAATTTTTTATTTACCAGGACAGTGCATATTAAAGGGGTCATATAATGGTACATGCACTTTTACAAGTTGATTGTACTGAAATGTGTGTTGGCAGTGCCTGTACACAACCATCAAATAATGATAAAAATCCATCCAGTGTTTTTGTTTAATCTCCTTTATGTTTTCCCCTGCCTCAAATTGAGCCGTTTCGTTTTTTGTGACGTCAATAAAACGGACGCCCCTCCCACGATTGTTGATTGACAGCAGCGTTTCAACACAGACCAGCCCTGAGCAAGCTGTCATCTAGTCCGCTATTGTTGATATGCTGGAGCAGAATGGCGTCTAAGCGATTGTGGTGTTCTGTTCTTGGGTGTAATAACGAAAACAGTCATTTTGATGTGCAGGGTACATTACTGCATGTTTTCTATACGACATTCTCAATATAATTCATAATCCAACGTTTGTAATGATCAACGCGTTATGGTTATTGTGTTATTACAAACTGAGTACGTATACATCAGTAAACACTAGGGATGAGTCGCGATCTTCGAATAGTCGAACTGCGTTCGAAATTCGATCATAAAATTGCTTATTCGAATACCGTTATATTTTCGCGCAATTCCAATGTGACATAATTGACGGCGCGCCTACTGTCACAGATCGCGCAGCAGGGTATTTTCCTGTCAGGGACACAAGGTAATGAAATTAATGAAACCCCCTCCTGCGCGATCTAGGATACCAGTGTTTTATACATAGTGTAAAACAAACAACAGAAGAGCATTGTCGTGACCGTTAACTCTGCGCCCAACAGAGGTGGGTAGACTAACCTTTACTGTCTATGGTAGTAACCGTCTATGGTAGTAACAAAGTAGGCTACATTTAACGTTACTTCACTACGTTGGACGACGTTCCTCTCCTTACTTTATTTTAATGCAATACATTTTGTTAAATGCGTAGTTTATTCCAAGCGCGCCGTGTCTTTTTTATGGGCATGAGCGATGCTCCATTCACAAATGAATCACTCTTTTGAGTCGATTCTGTTCAAAGACTTCATCAAACAAGTTGGCAGATCTGTCTAAATCGGTTCGTCTGAAGGTTCGGCACTGAATCGGTTCGGCACTGAATCGTCTGAAGCGCTTTCAATTCACACTCGACTCGGAGTCGTAACAGGAAGATTTAAGAACATCAAGAGCGTTGGATGAAGTGGCCGTGGACCTACAGTTTAGTCTAGTGAAAGCAAATCTGCAAATGCATCATATTTTTGCCAGCGATGAAGATCTTCTAGTTGAACATCTTCGTATGCTGTCTGTGAATGAATGATTCCACAGGACGATACATTCTAGTTCATTGCATTCAGGTAATACATTTTACAACCAAACAGATTATTACTCGACGATAGCACTACAAGTATGATGACATTATCCGTTTTTTTTTGACATATACATTCATTTATAGGCTACATTAAATAAGTTACTATTGTCCACAGTTTATGAAATGAACACTCGCCATCCGGCGGTAATGTGTGTGTGTATTGCGCAGTGGCATCACACAAATAGTTTTGATTGAAACTAATTTGTTTAAAAAGTAGGCTTTTGCAGTAACAATGCAGGTTTCATAAAATCATTATGACAATTTTTTTTATCTAAACAAGCATTTGGTTTGGCGATGCAAAAACGGACTGTCATGCTTATTGTTTTTTTCTTCTATGTTAACTACCGGTATGTTAAAAAAAACGACAAAAACGTGTTAATTGTTCAAATAATAAACAGTTTGTTTGATGACAAATCGCTAAAGATGAAATTGGCCTCCCTTTCTGTCATTGTGAGTGTGCGTTTTTTTTCCTCCCGTTTTTTTTTCCGATTTTCGAACGATAATCGACTTTTGCTCCTCGATTTTCGAATGTCATTTTTGGCAGAAATTCACATCCCTAGTAAACACATAGCGTTTGTACATCTCAGTAAGTTACTCTACCCTGCCAGTGCATACAAAGATAGATCAAAGTGACATAACGTTAACCAACCATTCAGAAACTTCCTGTTCAAGCCTTAATTGTCAAACTTCTTTGCGGGTGTCATCTTGTTCCGGGTGTGACTCCGGTTCAAACTGATACGGTTGCACAGATGTGTCCTCAGAGACTCCCGCTGCCATTGTTTCTCCAAAATATACCCTCAACTGTTGTCAAGGCAACACTCCACGTGCTTTGTCAGCCAGTAGAACAGAGGGGCGGAGTCAGCGAAGCTTATTATCATTTACAGGCATATGCACAGAAACGGCGTGCTGAAAACAGAGCTGTTTTTGACAAGGTAAAATTAGTGTTTTCTTACAATACTAATGAGAATTTTTAATTAAAGTATATTACAAACTTTTCATTTAGACCCTAAAGAATCAAATTAACTTGTATGAAAATGGCATTATATGACCCCTTTAATAACAGTACACCTGTAACCAGTCCCGCCCACAGAAATGACTGGGCCCCTGAAAAGGTCCAGTGAATGGGCCCTCCCCAAATCTGCAATAGGCTACTCATATCATGCATGTGCTCTCTCTCTCTCCTACATTAACACATACATTTAACTGAGAGAGACTTACTCAGTGATGGGGTGTGTGTGTATAGTTACACACACATTTAAACACACACACACACACACACCCAGGGCTCTCAAGTGTCACGCATTGAGCATGACAGTCACTCATTTCGGTCTTTTGTCACGCACTCCCGCCACACATTGTATTTCTCACGCAGAAAAACGATTTATAATATATTTAATCTAACACAGACTGAATCAGCCAGTAGCTAACACTGCTAACTGGCGCTCAAGGTCGAGCAGACAGCGGCACTTAGCTCAGAGCGCAGCCGAGCACAGGACTCTGATAGTGGGTGACTCGATAATCAGAAACATTAGTAGCAGGGATACAACTACGTGCTGCCTTCCACAAGCAACGACTTATGATGTAAATAGGGAACTTTAGAACATTCTGATGAAACATAAGACTGAAAATCGACCTATCATTCATGTGGGGAAAATGATATTCATAAAGAGCAGTCAGAACTCCTTAAGAAGGATTTCAATGAACTTTTTGAAACACTTAAAAGACTGAAAGTACAAACATTCATCAGTGGACCACTCCCAGCAAGAGGAACAAACAGATTTTCACGGTTGCTTGGGCTTAATACATGGCTCCAAAAAAAACTGCAATATAAAAGGAGTAAACTTCATTGACAACTTCAATCTTTTCTGGAGTCAGAGGCAACTGTTTCAACAGGATGGACTCCACCCAAACAAACTTGGTTCAAGAGTGCTAAAGGACAATATCTACTTCTCCCTCAATCATCCTTCTGCAGTGTGTGCAAATACACTCAACCTGAATGGCACACACACACACCTGGACACAGTATGAATGACCACAGGACTTCACTTCATCACCTGGATGGACATGCGATTGACACGTCACACAAGGACAATGATAACACCACTCAGCAAAAAAAGCCTCTGCTCAAGGACACAATCTCAGCTGAGCCCTGCCCACAGAGCTCACCACAGACAGACTGTGACATACTAGAACTGCTCCAACATTCAGCACCCAAGGATGACTTGCTGGAAAACCAGGACAGCATTTTACAGCCTCCAATAACACCAGAGAAACAGCCCCCTCCAGCCTCTACCCTCTCACCAGACACGTTATCCCTATCTCCAGCATCTCCACAGCATCTTTTGTGCTTCTCAGAGAAAATGGAAAAACTGGTGTTTGCTGGAACCAAACTATCTGCAAGCCCCCAGACATCAACCAAAAAACGGCAGGCCCCAAAACCACGAAAGCCTGCGGGCCCAGCTCGCTCCCTGCTTGTGAGAGCTCTTCGGCCTCTGCAAAAATGCCAGGGCCCACACCCTCCTCCATCGGCTCGAGGTGAACCAAAAACAACTGATACCAGCTCTCAGTGATATGTGCCGGGTAACCGCTATGATAACAGTAACTTTCTCAAATGTTTACAGAACAAGCGGGAACTCAGTGTGCCTGTATCTTTCTCTATTGCTGTTCGATTACATGATAGAAAGTGTAAGGCCTTCAAAAGCCGTACAGCAAACCCATCTAATCTGGTGCCTATTACACGCCAAACTAAACTCAGCAAAAAAAGAAACGTCCCTTTTTCAGGACTGTGTATTTCAACAATAATGTTGTAAAAATCCAAATAACTTTACAGATCTTCATTGTAAAGGGTTTAAACAATGTTTTCCATGCATGTTCAATTAACCATAATCAATTAATTAACATGCACCTGTGGAATGGTCGTTAAGACCTTAACAGCTTACAGAGAGTAGGCATTTAAGGTCACAGTTCGAAAAACGCAGGACACTAAAGAGACTTGTCTACCGACAGTGAAAAACACCCAAAGAAAGATGCCCAGGGTCCCTGCTCATCTGCGTGAATGTGCATTAGGCATGCTGCAGTGAGGCATGAGGACTGCTGATGTGGCCAGGGGAATAAATTGCCATGTCCGCACTGTGAGACGCCTAAGACAGCGCTACAGGGAGACAGGAAGGACAGCTGATCATCCTCGCAGTGGAAGACCACGTGTAACAACATCTGCAGAGGATCGGTACATCCGAATATCACACCTGCGTGACAGGTACAGGATGGCCACAACAACTGCCCGAGTCACACCAGGAACACACAATCCCTCCATCAGTGCTCAGACTGTCCGCAATAGGCTGAGAGAGGCTGGACTGAGGGCTTGTAGGCCTGTTGTAAGGCAGGTCCTTACCAGACATCACCAGCAACAACGCCGCCTATGGGGACAAACCCACCTTCGCTGGACCAGACAGGAGTGGCAAAAAGTGCTCTTCACTGATGAGTCACGGTTTTGTCTCACCAGGGGTGATGGACGGATTCGTGTTTATCGTCGAAGGAATGAGCATTACACCGAGGCCTGTACCCTGGAGCGGGATCGATTTTGAGGTGGGCGGTCCGTCATGGTCTGGGGCGGTATATCACATC